GCGCTTTCTGTCTCTATGTCTCTCTCTCTGTGTCTGGCGAGCGAACGTGCTCTATAACGAAAACCTCTCAAAAAAAAAAAAAAGAATGATTTAACTTTATTGTTATTTTTTTTTAGATAGCTACAGGGCATGTGCACTCACTTGAGAAAGGGGCGGGGGGACGAGATAAATAATTGCCTAACTCCCCTGCTGAGCACCAATACCAGTAAGAACAAGATGGTGCCCATTTTCACACATCACTGAATTCCCGCCACTTGCCCAGGGTCTGGAACAAGGCAGGCTGGTGATTTTTGAATGATGGAAACCATGTAGGAAAGTGGGGAATCTAGATAGGCTAAAATGACAAGAATTTAGAAGAGACAGAAACACATTCCTGCCGTTTCCCTCACTGTGTGGATAAGCAAGAAAGAAATGGCTCAAAAGTCCTTAACTAAATGAGCACAGAGGATTTGTAGGGTAGAAAAACTACTTGGTAGGATATACTGTAATGGCAGTACACACTATTATACTTTCGTCCAGACTCCTAGAATGTACACACCAGGAGTGATCCCTAATGTAAACTATGGACTTTGAGTGATGATGATATGTCAGTAGAGACTAGTAGGTGGTGGTTAAAGGCACTGGGCTCCCCCAGGGCTGACAGTGGTTCACATCCCAGACCTGGTGGCTTGACTTCTCACACACACCCCCAAACCCGTCTCTCTCTGGTGAGCACATGTGCCCTATAGCAAATTTTAAAAATAGAATAATAAATAATTCTTTTTAAAAAATGATGTATAAACAAAGGAAAAAAACGAAGAAAACAAAACAAACGATGTGTCAATGTCGGTTCATCATTTGGAACAAACGGACCAGTCTGGTGGGGAATGTTGATAATGTATCATCCTCTCAACTTTGCTATGAACCTAAACTGCTCTATAAAAGTCTTTGGGATCGGGAACCAGCAGTTAGCGTAATGGCTATGTCGCTGGATTCCCACGTAGTCGACCGCGGTTCGTGTCCCGGACCCGGTGGCTTAAAACTCACGCCGGGCGCGTGGGCGTGCGTGCCCAAGATCCCGCGAGGAGAATGGAGGAGAAGGGCTTGCAGCGTGACCATCCCCCCTGGGGGGTGATTTCTCGCTTTCTGTCTCTATGTCTCTCTCTGTCTCTCTCTGTCTGTCTGGCGAGCGCACGCGCCCTACAGTGAAAATCTCTCAAAAAAAAAAAAAATGTCTTTGGGACCAGCAGATGGTGTAGTGGTTACATCACTGGACTCTCATGGAGTCAACTGTGGTTCAAGTCCCAGACCTGGCAGCTTAAAGCTCACATCAGGCGCATGTGTGTGCGTGCCCACAATCCCGAGAGGAGAAGGAAGAGACAAGATTGTGGCATGACCATCCCTCCTGGGTAGGAGGAGATGATTTCTTGCTTTCTAGCTCTCTGTCTCTGTCTCTGTCTCTCTCTGGCAAGCACACACATGCCCTATAGCAAAAATCTCCCTTTAAAAAATCTATAAAATAGTCTTAAAAAATCTAAATAAATAAAAACACCTTAGTTAGAGCAGGCCTTTGTGGTGTGTCAAGAGTTACTCTTTCCAGTGAAAAATGAGCAATTCTGCTAAAATAAATTATTAACTTTATTTAGTGAGCTTAAGAGCCCTTCCTGTTGTTTGCCAATCTTAGGAGAAAGCTGATGATCTTTAACCAGTCGAATAATCTGTCATCGATCATTTTTTTAAAAATCTAGTCATGCAATGATTATTAAACCATCCCTTTTCCTACCAATTTCTTTGTTAAAGGGAATTTTTGGGGGGGAGGAGAAGTTTTTGCTATAGGGCACGTGTACTTGCCAGAAGGACAATGAGAGACAGAGAGACAAAGCAAGAAATCACCCCCCGGGGGTTATGGCCACACTGCAGTCCCCTCTCCTCCATCTCCTGGGTCTGGGACTCGAACTGTGGTTGACTACATGGGAGTCCAGCGACATAACCATTGTGCAAGTTCACTTATTGCTTTCTTCCATTAGTGAGATAAACAGAGAAAGAGTGAAATAGAGACACAGCACATCCAACTGGTTCCTGGTGCCTTCCTCACTCCTAGTCTCAGCCAGACCTAGATCCTCACCCAGAGTACTCAGGGGAAGTCTCTGGACATGAGCTCAGAACCCTCCTATGTGAGTCAGTCTTTCCAAGTTTTAGTGCTGCACCACCATCTAGCCCCAAGAGTCTCTCTATAAAAATGTGTTTTAGAGACAGCATCTTACTAAGTAAGATGTAGTGAGCCTGGACCTCACCATTTTCCTGCCACAGCCTCCAGAGTTGCTGGTTTACAGGTGCATGTGCACCCACTATGCCCAGCTAGGAATTTTTGAATTACCTTAGAGTCTTCTTGATACAGTTTGACATAAAAATGCTTGTCACCAGTTATTGGTCCTATCGTTTTTTTTTTTTTTTGCTATAGGGCGCATGCGCTCACCAGACAGACAGAGACAGACAGAGAGACAGAAAGAGAGAAATCATCCCCCAGGGGGGGATGGCCACGCCGCAATCCCTTCTCCTCCATTCTCCTCTTGGGATCTTGGACACACAAGCACACACGCCTGGCGTGAGTTTTAAGCCACCGGGTCCAGGACGTGAACCGTGGTTGACTACATGGGAGTCCAGCGACATAGCCATTACACTTACTGCTGGTCCCAGGTCCAATCATTTTTTTTTTTATAATGAGAGTTAGACCTCTGTTTCTCCTTTTCACATTTTTAAGTTCCTTTCTTTCTTTCATGAACAAGGAAGAGAGAGAGAGAGAGAGAGAGAGAAACAGTACTCTGGACAGTCTTTGTGCCATGTTTCACCCCCAGCCTTAGCCAGCCCCATCATGGGCAGGCACATGCCTGTGTACTCAGGGAGTTCTGTGGACACAAACCTAGAACCTTCCCATGTGGGTCAGGCTCACAGAACATTGTGTTTTATTGCCACACCACAGTCTTCCCCCACTTCAATTTTTGTAATGTGATCTTTATAAAGCATATTCTGATTACTATTTTTTTTTTTTAAAGTTTGACAGTCCCATGTTTCTAAAATCAGATTCAAGGCTGGCCTCTAGGTATTTTTTTTTTAAAGCTTGTAAGGTGAGTAGATCCCCGTTTTTTTTTTTTTTTTTTTTTTTTTTTTTTTTAAGAATTATTTAATTTAATTTTTTAAATTTACTCATTCATTTATTTTACTTCGACCAGAGAGAGAGAGAGAGAGAGAGAGAGAGAGAGAGAGAGAGAGAAAGCTCACACGTACAAGACTTGAACACCGGCCATCCTCTCGGGATCCTGGGCACGCACGCACACGCGCCTGGCGTGAGGTTTAAGCCACTGGGTCCGGGACGCAAACCGCGGTCGACTACGTGGGAGTCCAGCGACATAGCCATTACGCTAACTGCTGGTGTTCTATTTTATTTAATTTTATTTATTTTAATTTGACCAGAGAGGGACAGAGAGAGAGAGAGAGAGAGAGAGAGAAAATGAGAAAACAAGCCGCCAGGTCTGGAATTCAAACTGTGGTCAGCCATGTGGGAGTCTGGCGCCTCCAACCACCACGCCACCTGCTGGCTCTTAGGTATTTT